AGGGAGGGAGGGAGGGAGGGAGGCAGGGAGGGAGGGAGGGAAAGCCAGGTAGGTTCCAGTATCACATGTTTGCAATCTACTTGGGAATCAGAGAACAGGAGGATCACAGCTCCAGGCCAGTCTAAGCAGCAAAGTCCACAAGACCCTTTCTCTTCTCAACCCACAGCAGGTACAATGGTATGTGTCTATCATTCCCAAGCTACATAGGAGGCTGACACTGGCTTTGTACTCCACTAATCGCAGGCAGGCAGTGTGCATTCTCTCCTGGCTGGCTTGTTCCACTTCCATGTTATCTCCAGATTCACATACATATGGCACTTGGTTATAGATCACTCAGGCCCTCTGCTGCACACACACCCTTGACCCCATGGTGACATATATACCGTTTGTTCTATTGATGATGTGTGTTTGGCATTTTGCAATGTGGAGCTCTTACAAACCATGTTTTGCCAGGGAATAGGGCGCTATGAATCCCAGGAGGAAGGAGATGTGGAAACTCATTTCCTTAGCTGTGGATCTCCACAGAGGTCTGTGGCTCCCCCTGCTGGACAGGTACCACATGACAGTCCCTGAAATGTCCTTCACTTCCCAAGCTCAATCACCTCTGAGCCATGGCCCTACCTGGAGTCCCTCCCTCTTACCTCTAATCCCTCCGCACCTCACCCCATTCCTGGCCCAAGAGAACTTGCTGAGCCAACACCTGGACCATCCTGTGGCTGTAGCTGGAATTCAAGGCCACAGACCCAGAGTTCTGGAGAGGCCAGGATTCTGAGGGCTACTCCTCTGAAGGGTAAGGGCCAACTCCCAACACACACACACACACACAAACACCACATACCCCTTAAGGCTGAGTTTGCTGAGCTTTGACCTTAACTCCTGACAGACAGCCACACGGGGGAGCATTCGTGAGAGCCCGTGTGTCCTCCTGCAATAGCTGCCTCCCTGGCCCCACCCTGTCAGACCTGTTTTCCATTCCCGACACCACCCTTTCCCAAGGCCCAAGCACCTTCCACCCACAAGGCTAAGAAGGAACCTTTCTCTCTCGTGGAAGGCTGAGGGCTGGAGCAGCAGGGGGCTATGGAAGCTCCCACAGAGCCTGTGTTCTATCACAAGTTAGAGATCCGGGAGCCTGGCGCTGAGTGGGAAGAGGAGGAAGAGGATGAGATATCTGAACTGCTGGTCTCCAACCTCAAGAGACCCCAGGACATCCCTGAGTGAGTCCAGGAGGGGGCTGGGCACCCAGCTTACCACACTGGAGGCTGGTAAGACCATCTCTCGGGAGCCCGTAGGTAGGACCAGACAATCCTGGGCTTAGCTCAGTTCCAGGGGCTTTCCCCACGAAGTGGGGGGGGGGGAGCCTAAGCTGTAGCTCCAGAACTGAGCCAAGTCAAAGGCCCATGTGTCTGAAGGGATATTTGTAACAAGCCAGTCCCTGTGCTGGGCAAAGCTGTCATAAGGCCCAACACTCTGCCCTCCCCCCAGTCCCGCACGCGCGCGCTGCTCCACACACACACACACACACACACACACACACACACACACACACACACACACACACTGGACACCTGCTGGGCAGGTTAGGGGCCTGGTTCTACCCCCCACACACACACACACTGGACACCTGCTGGGCAGGTTAGGGGCCTGGCTCTACCTGACTAAGCTCTACCCCTCAGCCTCCTCTCCTCTGTCTGCCAAGCTGTGTGTATGTGTGTGTGTGTGCGTGCGCGTGCGTGCGTGCGTGCGTGCACACATACACTGAAGGCTTGAAGTCAAAGCCTGAGCACTGTCTCTTAGCTTTCTATTCAAGGCTAGTTAGCTACCACTTGAGCCACAGCTCCACCACCAGCTTTTTGGTGGTTAACTGGAGATAAGAGTCTCTCGAACTTTCCTGCCCAGGCTGGTTTTGAATAGAGATCATCAGATCTCAGCCTCCTGATTAGCTAGGATAACTGGCATGAGCCACCAGCACCTGGCTGCCAAGCCTTTTGAGACTTCCTTCTAGGTGGCCTCCTGTCTCTCCAACCTCTGCACACACTCCCTTCCAAGTAGCATTTCCCCAGCCTTTTCTCCTCTCCATAGCTTGGCCCACGCTGTGCCCTCTCCCAGGCCACTCTTCTCTCCTTGACAAACTTGTCCTCTCATGAAGTCATGAGAATGTTCCTGTACCCTAGCCCCAGCTCAGAAATCCCTTCTCGGCAGGAACAAGGCCGGTGGGTTGCCCGGCGTGTGGGCCCGAATAGGGGCAGCCCTGGTACTGCTGGCTGTTAGCTGTTTCCTGGCTGTGAGGCAGCTGCAAAGCAAGGGCCACTTGGCTGAAAGCCTGGGCTCTGTGGCAACTCCGGTGAGCAGCCACACCCATCCTCCTGGCGTGTTCCACCACAGCGCCATCATCAGCCCTGCAGGTCTGTGCTGGGAAAGCAGAGGACAGAGTGGAGGGTGGGTAGGGGGGAAGTGGGATCACTGGTCTAGCCCCTCCCCGTGACGATCCCTTCCTTCCTGCAGCCACGTGCTCACACATGGGCCGAGAGCTGCTTGTGGCTGGGGGTAATGTCGTGGACGCTGGCATTGGAGCAGCTTTGTGCCTGGCAGTGATACACCCTCACCTCACAGGGCTAGGTCAGTGACCCAGGGCCCTGGATAGAACCCCCCACCCCCAACACAAGGCCTAGACAGGGACTTGAGGTCTGTGACCTCAAGACAGTAAGCAGGACACTGGATTTGGGTTACAGGCCCCAAGCCTAGGCTGTGACCCTTGTCCCCAGGCCTAGTCAGCACTTCCTGATCCCAGGTTCAGTCAGTTAACTTTTTTTT